TGCCGTGGCGCATACCTCGAATACCTCTCCTTGATACGCGGCGTGGCTGACAGCGTTTATCCTAGGGCCAAGAATGCACTCGCTACGAGTTGGCGTTCTGGCGTTACGCAGATGGGAATGAATTGCACATGCAGAGGCGTGTCGGGTTATCCCCTGGCAAAGTCTCACCCTTTTCCCCATGTTCCTCTCAAAGACAAGAGGAATTTACATTACCTTTTCCGCATGCAGTGAGAAGAAGGTTTTGCTTCCGCAGCCGCCGCGTGGTTAAAAGACCCCCGGATGCAGCCTCCAAATAAATCCCTGCAAAGAATCCGTCCCCGGACGACCCCTAGATTGATCACAACCTTATATCATTGGGGAGCCAAAAAAGCAAAACCAACTCCCCCGGTTTCCTGGGCTGAGAATTGATTCGTGGGCCAATAAGGATACGCCTCGCAGCGCATATTCTTGAAAGAAATGCTAGATTCGCTTCTTTTCCGTACATGGCGCGCAGAAGTGCAAACAGAAAACTGCAGCGATGTGCTTGAGGTCGCAACCGATGTCTCACTCACCACTGCCCCATGGCTGTTCACTGACTGACACACATGGCGCAGTCAGCGCCTGTGCTTGGGGTCGCACCTGATCTGATCCATCCTCTCCCTGGTCTGCCCAATATTGAGATCACCAGCGGATAGTGTCATTTCTTCCTTCCGCCTCTCGGTTTCTCGTTCGGATCGCACTCAAGGCTTGGCCATACAAAGAAAGGTGCAGTCGAAAAACCCGCAATCACAAGCGCAACGGCATACCAAGTGCCGGCAGCGATAGTCTCCTTTGGGCAGTGCTTGGCTGATTGGGCCGCGTAAGTCCAGGGTCCTCCTAATGAGGAGGCGGCGACGCTGGCGGTGTGCTAGGTAGGGTCATGACCAGCTCACTCGAGTCGAGGCCATTACCCACCAAAGGAATGGGAGATCTGCAGAAATGAGCGTGGTAGAAATAGAGTTCGCGCCAGCTCTAGCCTCTGCCACATCCCACGAGCCACTCAAGCCAGATCACCTTGGCGTCCTTCTCTCCAAGATCTGCCCGTCTGCAACGGGAACGCACATCATTCCCACGGACACACGGACGAGATGGGGCCGAAAGAAGCCCAACGCGGGACCCGCGTTGTCCTTTGCCCCCACTCGCTTCCGAGAGGAAAGGACGCCAGAAGCTCACGGTTGCGCGACGATGCGTTTCACTATATCAAACTATCTATCCTGCTACTCTCCTACCGGCCTAGATAGCCAGTGGGCGCTCTCTTGAACGGGAAACCTCCAATAAACGCCTGGCCGCGCTTGTGTAGCGCAAAAATCTCCCATTCCCGTCCCTTCTTCCATTCCTTCCAGAGCTAGAGCTAGAGCTGATCTGGTCAGCACTTCGTGAACCTGTATACCGTTTTCACACACAATCAAGACAGATTGATCTCAGCCACCTCCCCTGGGGCAATGTCCGCTAAGGGGAGAGGCGCATAGTCCGGGGCTCCGAGATATCATTCGGAGGCTCTCAGCTAAGCCTGGATCTCGGCCAGATCGAATCATTTCCTGTCTTGGCGGTAGTCCTCCACGGGGGCGTGGGTTTCTGGCATCCTGGACGCCCATCATTCCCAAGACCCTTGGAAGCAAGTCTTTTGCACACAAACTAAATTGTGGGCATACCATCGTCATCATCACCACGCAGCCTGGCAGCACCCAGTGCATGCCTGTCCTAGTGCCCGCTAACTCGAGAGCTACTGCATGAGCGGCTCTGCGCGAATATGTCCCACGCGGATCTCCTCTCATATCCGCTGTGGTCTTTGTCGGGCGCGATGGTTTGTAGTCGTTTGCTCAACAGCCAACAATGCAGGGATCGGACTTGTTTCCGTTTTGCAAATGGCATGAGAGGCAGACAGTCTCTTCATGAGTCGACAATCATCTCGAAACAAGCCGCTTTTTCCTGGCCTGCCATGAAATGATATCGAGATGCGAAAGAAACATTGCGCCCACCGGCCGTCGAGGCGACAGATTCGCTTGTGCCAGCGCTACACTAATAATCGCTAGGCTCCGAGCCCAGTGTAAGCGAGCCTCTCTTACCCTGGTCGCGAACCCAGTAACGTGCTGCTGACATGTGCATTCCCACCATGAACTATAATAGTCCTGTGTGACTTTGTGACTACCATGAGCAAATCATATTACATGTGTGCGCCTTAGGAGGCTACAGGCCGGAATAAGGAACTGGTTTTTCCATTTTCTTTGGGCGACTGGGGAAATTCCCACAGTGGATTGGTTGTGGAGGCTTTGGAGTTTTGCATCGCGTTTCGTCAATCACGGCAGTAGATCTTCCCGGACCAGGGGCGATGCAAATCTCTGTACACTATTCTTACCTATTGTGTAGGTCAGCGATGCGCATCAACCATGGCAGGGTCAAATAAGAATTACTATTGATAATACCTCTTTTTCTTTTTGCCGGGCTGAATCAAGGATCGCCAGACAATCATTACCCTCCCGTTTGTCACTTATACAAATTTAGGATTCGGGTGGATGGGGTTGGGCAGAATAGTAGATACTAGAAAGTTTCGGGATACTAGTTGCATATACTATGTAAATCACGTTTCCACATGGCAAAAAAGGAAGAAGTTCTGGCCAGCCACCAGACCCGGGCCCATGGAGTACATTCATAGTATTGTACTTGGTATGCAGTAAGCAATGCTCCCCAGTTTTTTTGATGTGTTACATGAGAGTTAGAAATCTCTTGTACCTAAACGACTCATGCCAGCAAATAAAATATCGCAGCACTGGTAAACGGAATAATTCACAAAATGTCGATTCAGTGTGTGGGTATACAAAGTAGTAGGAAATTTGATTTGAGCCAGGATTTAGGATTAATATCATGTTTTATTGCAAATTGTTCTTTTCCGTCATTTGCTCAAAAGGTATTTTTGCTTTGTAGACACCCGAGATCGTGAACACGAGCATAGTTACTCTTGTATACTTGTATCTTTCCTTCCCCTTGGCACAAATGACATCGACATTATTTTTCAAGCGAGTACGAAGCACCAATAAGGCAAGGGATGCTTATCAAATAGTTAACACGCTGCCCGCAAGGCACAAAGGAAATTGGCAAAGCAGTAAATAATATAATAAAGTTTTCCTTTGGAGCGGCAGTTCATCTCAATCCTTGTGGCTAGCCATGTGGGATTTTCGTGTTTTTTTTTTCTCTATGACTGTCGTGCATTTGTTGCTTTTCTTTTCTGGGCCATACAAAGTTTAATCAATATCACGTTTTTTTTTTCTTTCTTTCCTTCTTATCCTGCATGTGTCATTTGAGGAATATTCCTTCTTGTTTCTCTCAGTTGTCGTCACTCTTTCCCACGTATCCTGTCTCGGGTACTTTTTTCCCCTTCTCCTTTAATTGGAAGAGCGTGGGGGAGCGACATCATACACATAACGCACATACCATGTCGTACTTTCCACGATCGTGCATGACAAGATAAAGCAAAGAGAAAAGAACGGATGATATATCCAAGAATAGATCAATGTTGAGGGTTGTGAATTTGTTGCTGGCAGAAAATAATAATAATAAATGATAAAATGGTTCTTTTTTTTATGGCAGTCAATTTTTAAGCTTTCAATAGAGCCTCAAGTCCGTGTTAGAGAAGAGGCATGGGGGGTCTAACATGTATTTCTCCAGTGCTGTCTGCCGGTACGTATAGGCGCTGCAAGAGCCCAGGTTCCAGGGATGCTAAGGGTTCAGCCTGATCAAGGAGCCACTGCCTGTCGTTGGGGGGTGAGGATCCCCCAAGGGGGTGATGGGTAAGGGGGGCACAAGAAAAAAAAAGCTTGGTCTCGTAGCCTTGTTGAAAATTGGTTTGAGATCTCTCCATTCTGACCACGGTTGGGCCCAAGCAGCTATTCCTGGGTTCGGGTACGTACTTTGGATATTATAGAGAGAGGCCTGTTTATTCATCTTTGCTCTCTCCCCATGATGTCAGTTCCAGGGCTTGGGTTGGGGGTGACAAACCCCCAGAAGGGGAAAGGGGACTACCCTGTCTGATTTTGGCCGTTTCGAGATTGTGCACCCCCTGCCCGCCGCTGCGACAGCAATGCTGGTAATCATGGTCACGTTTCAAGAAACAAAGTGTGGGTGTGAAAAATAGAACATCCCAACTTTGGTGTTTCAAGATCGCCATCAGACGAGCGCAAATCTGTTTGATAGCTGACAGCGGGGGATAGCAAGGAGCAACGGGAAAACTCAAAGTATGTTCTCCTACCCGAGTACTTTGAATACCGAGCAAGAGGTTTGTGTCACAATACTAGCACGATTCGATGCAATAACAAAATGACAAGCACAGGGTTGTCGTGTAAAAACCTCCTGCCTCCGATCCGGTCCGTGACACCTTAGGAGCTGCATTATAGACAGTATAACGATACACTTACTAAGAGAATGATGCTCGCTGATGGTGGTGATGACTGAGATATGCAAAGATTCCATACAACAAGTCACGTGCAATAAAAGCGGCAACTAAATGGAAAGAGACCAATTTGAAGATGCCGAGGATATATTCTCATGGCACGAGCACCAAGAGAGGGCTCAACTGAGTAGACATGCACATTTGGAAACACAACAACAAACCACGAGAGGACCAATATCAGGCGTTTAAAGCAATAGAAATTGTGTAACTAGGGGCTCATAGAGATGCCCAAGACAATGTTGAATAGCGAATGCGAATTTGGCCTCACGGCACAACGCAAAAAGTCATCGCATATGTTAACTTCTCAAATGCTGAACGCATCACTGGCCTCTAAAAGAAAGACTTTTGCGAGGGGGTTTAGCCGTCCTTCTCCACGGAAGCCCAGCCAGTGACCGCAGCAAATTCCGCCTACTTACGCATACCTTCTCTTCTTTCTCTATCAAAGGCAGATGCAGAATTTCGGAGATCAGAGCCACATTTTCTGTCTGTTAAATGAGTCTCAAGCTCGACAGCTTCCAATCGAATGGACAATGTCTCCTTAAAGTGCGACAAATTCAGAAGGAACCTCTCCAGAAGTCTCATTGAGATGAGGAGGGCTCTGGGGAATAGTCGACTCCCAAGGTAGATCACGCGTAGTGGAGGACTCTGCAAGCAGCATCGTTGGAGCGGCATTTCCTCTAGGCGTGGTAGTAGGGAGAGTCACGGTGTCTGTGGCTCCGCTTATGCTGGGAGTGGTGAATGAAAGCATCATTGAGTCGGTATCGGAGGTTGAAGCCGGAGTGGTGAATGGAAGTGTCATGGACCCTGTAACTGAGTTTGTCTTCTTGGCCATGCAAACCTCCAGGTCGCCATTGCATGAGCCGGGAGTGGTGAATGGGAGTGTCATCGAGTCTGTGATTGATGCTGTTGCCTTGGCCACGCAAATCTGCAGGTTTGTGTTGCACGAGGTAGTAGTCGACCAGACCACGCGCTCATGCGGCTGTACATCGCCAGTCACGCTCGGCACGGGTGCTGGCACACACTCGCAGTTTGTTTCGCACTGTCTATTCTCCAGCGGGGGAGCGGCACACGAGACAATGCCCTCATTGGAGCATTCACAGTACATGAAGCAATTGCGGTCGCTGCACTGTAAGCCGTTTGCCTTGGGGAAGGTAGCAGATGCTGTGGGCGTGGTGAAGCTGGAAAGAGTGGCCTCGGTCGTGGAAGGAGCGTCGACAGAAGAAGTGGAAGAGAAAGACACAAAAGTGAATAGATCAGATTGGCCAGACTCGGTGACAGTTTTGACAGGAGCGGCATCTCGGATCTGGTCGATGACGATGGTAATGGCTGGCGATTCATGGTCTCTGGACGGCTGGGTGTGGCCCAAGTTCAGGGAGCTGGAAGTGGTCAGAGTAGAGAGGGTTGTCGGCAGTCCATTCATGGTGACCGTGAGATACGATGGACGCATCAAGCCGGTGTCGGAAGCGCTGGCGCTGGCCCAAAGAGTCTCGTTGCTGCTGGACGGATGGAGGGGAAAGCCGAGAACTGCCAGCGGCAGGAAGGCGAACAAGGCAATCAAGAACTGTATAAGCTGGGTTAGCCAAGACGATCTCAACGAGTTTCCGTAGCAAGGGTTGTAGACTTACCTGCATCTTGTAGACTTGTGCGTGATTGTTGTCTGCTGGTAGGGTTTGATGGAGTAGATAAAGAGGATGATGAAGAATTTGAATACGTGGATGGGTGAAGATACTTGTGGGAGTTGTGATGAGTAGGTAGGGGAGGAAGAAAGGTTGGTGACTAGACTCCTATGTCAACAGTTGCCTATGTGAGTAGGATTTGTTGGGTTGACAGGAAAGAAAGATGGGGAGTTCTGAAGATGCAGATGGGTATTGATACCTCTGGGAGTGAGTTGTAGTAACCACTGGTTGGTTGTTGGGAAGGGGGTGAATCAGAGTGTTGTTGTCGCGAGTTTGATGGGTTATTCACAGTCAGCGAATGGAAATAGGTTTTTAATTTGGTTCTTGTGTGCAGAAGAGGGTAAGTGCGTAGTTTTGTGAATTGGACGAAGTGGCAATGAAAGAAAGAAGGAAGGAAGGAGCGTCACTCGGTCAAGTGATGAGGTGTCAAGGAAAGAACACAGGAAGGAACTCGAATCACGAACTCAGGGAGAATGATGCACTGCAGACGAATTTGTTCGGAGTGTAGATTTAATGGAAAGGAATCTATGGCTTTGGGAGAGGGCAGACCAAGAAGACGTCGAGTATCATTGATGCTTCTTGCAAAAACCAAGTTTGGCCTTGGGAAACATGCTATCATCTATGGGGACTCCCCTAATCACTTGTTGGGAATGGCAGAAACGCATAGACTGTATCATACTTCTTCATCAATTGAGTGATACTAAACATGTAACCACATCCAGGCCCAGGCATATGAAAAGAGCCAGTTTGTAAGTAGAGCACTTCATCAGCCCATACAACCGATCAGTCACCGCCGCCATCGTTGTCATGACGAACTGACCGATAGTCTCATTGAATGACCTGGACCCAGTTGTTCTCCAGCTGCTGTCTCTCGAATCTGTTTTCAGCTGCCTGTCGCAGAACCTCTTCAGCCTCGAGCTTATCAGCGGCAGCCGTCGTCGTTTCTTTCACTTGGTTTCGGACCGCCGTGGTAAGTATTTTATACCAGCCATTGTGCGCCTTGCACCTCTTCTTCTCACACATGCCGCGTGTGGCCAGAGAGCCGCTGCCACTGTCCTCGCCCGTGGCCTCGGCAGGTGGCGCCTCAAGCTTGCCAGCCGTAAAGGTTGCTTGTCCCTCGGCCGAGTCGAGCCAGGCTGCGAATGCGTGCCGGACAGAGACAACATCAAGCCGGTAGTCATAGCCACAACTGTCCTTGGTAAACTCCTTTGCCTCGATCGCAGCCTGTCGTCGCTGATTGGCCCAATCTATGAGCTGCATCATTTTCTTGTAGACCACGATTTCATTGCCGAGAGCGAGGCGCTCTGCTGCCGAGTTCTGTAGAAACGCCTGGTCCTCGTCGCTGAGAACACCGGGCTGTGTGGGTAGACCGTTAACCCAAAGACCCTGAATATTGCCTTTGTAGAAGTAAGAGAGTTAGCTTTGTCGTGGAGCACCGAATGTGTTCATGGAGGAAGAGCTTACCAAATGGCTTGTCTCCCAGCTTCCAACCACCCCGATCAGCAGTTGATGTGAGTAGACCCATAAAGTCCTCCTGCGTCAGGACTTCGAGCGCCTTCCTGGACGCTGCCTTGGTGGGCAAGGACACAACCATGGAAACCCACCAGGCGTCGCAGTGCTCGTTGCAGCAAAAGACGGACCGCGTCTCCTTCTTGCCGTACAGGCGGGCAGGGTTGGTGCAACCGGCGAGCGAGCACGTCTTCTTGTATTTTGTGTAGTTGAGCTTGCCATCAGTGCAGTTGGGGCAAACGAAGCGCTCAATGAGCTTTTCTCCCAGCTCCTTCTTGATATTGACGCACTCGCCGTGGAACCAGTCTTCACACGCGTCGCAACTTATCATCCACCTGTGGTCATCCGGGCCACGGCAGAGGCAGTACGGACCATTGTCGATTTCATCGTCTGAGCTGCTGTTATCATTGTCATCACCATCTGCAACTGTAGAATTATCCTTCTTCGGAGCCTTGGACTTTGCCGACTTGGGCTTCTTGGGGCCTTTCTTGGTGGCTGCGGTGCCCTTCTTTTTGGTCGCGGACTTGGCCATTTTGCTGGTTGTGCTGGCCGCTGGTGATGAAGCTGGAAGTCTGCCGGCATCAGGGTCCGGTTTGATCTCGAAAGAAAATGAGGTGTGCGCGCTGTTTGGTTGCTCGACCGACCTCAGGATAGCTGCATCACCCTGCGGACCATTGGTGGGCTCTGTGCTCAGGTCGGCATCCGCCATCGCCACATCCTGGACTCCATCGCTTGCATTGTCCTCACTATCTGCCATGTCGAATGAAAAATCGTCAAAGAGTCCAGCGGCCAAATCAAGGACGACACCATACACCCGTCGGCGCTGTCACCTGCAGTTCTCGTTTCTGTCACGGCGTGATGTATCCACCCCCGAATCCCAGTCGATCAATCATTCAACGTTTGCAGATTCACTACTTTTGTTGTTGATATGCGCATATTTAAATATGGCAGAAAGCATAAACCGCTGACAATTAGTCAATATGAGACGATTAAGGACTTCTCATGATCCGTGTGAGAAAATTGCAAAGATTATTATGCGAATGGCAATTGGCGAGACTGATGTTGATGTTCAGTAGTATCATTAGCCACAACAAAGGGCGATTGTGGCGCTTGGACTTATCGTTATCTTTGACAACTGGGGAGAGCTGGCTTCACCATAGAAATCGCATCATCTGCCAGCTGGCACTAATTGTCCTCTAGGTCCGGTGACAAAGTACACCTTGATGTTATTTCATTGGAACTTCATTATTAATGGTTATTTATTGATTACGATGGCTAGATTCACCACACTGTGCACCAAGTCTTTTTTCTTTTCTTTTATTTTCCACGACTCGTCTCTGTGTAGTACGTCGCTCTGTCCTAGTACTCCACAAACTTGATCTTTGCACGCACATCCTCAGGAAAGTCTTCCAACTTGGCCAGGCCCATCTGAATACAGTCGCCCCAGAAGAACAAGGCTCGGTCCTGGGTATACGCAAGGTAGTCAAACTCATCGGATTCGCCGCCTGACTCCTCCGGGGCTGCGATGGACGCAGGCTGAGCACCTTCGATTTGTGGCTCCTGGGCTGCCTTATCTGACTCTTGCAGACTCTCAGTATTCGTCTGCATAAGACCCCAAGCTACCCAGAATGCACTGCTTGCAACACGCCAGAGTCGGGTCTCTTCCATTAATTGCTCGACTTGCTTCTCCGTCTGCTCCGTTTGACGTTTCTCATTCTCCTTCCATCCTCCAGGAGGTGCTCGTGCATCTAGCATAAAGTCTGTAATCGAGCTGGTCGACCCAGCCATGTGTGACGCACCTACAGAGATCCCTGGAATCTCCGTGGAAGGACTGTCAAGTGGTCTGAGATTGGGCGTAGAGCCTGAGTGAGGAAACTCTGGTCGATGGTCAACGTATGCTTTGAGGAAACGCCGCTGCTCGTCTGGGGTCGGATACGCTGCAGTATTGCATGCATAAGGCTTCGAGGCATCGTGGTAGTTGTAAGTCCATTCGGTAAAGTGGTTGGCAAATTCGAGCCCTCTCGTGTTGGCGGCTGCGTATTCAAAGTCAATGACGATGAGTTGTTTATGCTCATTATGGGGCTGCAGTAGAGGCGACTTTTGATCGTCCAACTGAATACGCAAGATGTTTCCGTATTGAGTCTGAAATGTGTCAGCTTGAACCGTTTCTTATCCCCAGTATTTTCTGCAAAGCTTACATCACTGTGAGCAAAGACGAGTTGGTCTTTGACTCCCTGCGAGCCGCCGTAATAAGCCTCCACCTTTTCTCGATACTTCATGTACGTTTCCTTGAACTTTGGCCACTCAACGCCCAATACAAGACCGCGTTTCTTCCAGGAATCTGCGGGACCCCGGATCGGGCCTGGATCCCCAGACAGGATTTTCTCGTCCAAGTATGTAATGGCTTTCTCGACATTTTCGATCCACGAGTCCCAAGCTTTGAATGTACCTGGGCCGGCTTCCCTCTCCTCATCCAGGACCTCTACACCGTCATGCAGCTCCCTCATCCGCTTTGCTATCTGTTTGGACGTCTCAGGATCACGAATGAGCGCTGCTGTGAGGGTGATTGCGTTGAAATATTGCTCGAAGCGGCCATTTTCAAATGTTCCCAGCATGCGCGGGCCAATCTTCTTCCTAGCAAGGCGACGAAGTACGCTCAACTCGTTCTCGCGGTCAATAATATTTTCAACCTGTGGTCCGTATACTCTGAGCAACAATTTCGCCGGTGCTTTCTTTCCGGGCTCCGTCTTCTCCGCCAAATCCTTCGGAGGGGACACAACGTATACAGCATTGGTAAGGGCACCGCTGAGACGTTGCACATCGATGTTGTCGCCACTATCCAGGGGCACACGCCTCCAGCCTTTGATTCTGAGCGTATGCGTGATGCGGATGATCTCGTTCTTGAACTTTACCCACGCCTTCCGCTCCTTTTCCTCCTTGCGACTTGAGATTGACACTTCATCGTCTGCAGCCTTTCCGCCTCCATAGCTCATGGTTTTGGAGTTATCCAACCAGGCATCGCACTTGGGCACAAGGACGTCTCCGTCGTGGAACTCTGTGTCTGAGGAGGCGGTTCGGTGCAAGTGAAACAAGGAACGTTTCTTGTGTGCCTTCTTGCTGTGTGAACGAGGGATATAGTGTGGCACAGAGCTGAGTCCAAGAGCACTCATGCTATCATCGAGGATCTTTTGCAATCTATCCAGTGAGATATCGCTGTTTTGCGAATCGATTGAGTAAGATCTGTTGTGCTTGGGCGTGGATTCCACTGGCGCTGCGGCTGATGATGCAGATTGGTCAACAGCCTCTTCGTCGGTTGGCGCATGCCTGTGACGTCCGTAACGAGACCGTCTTGACTTCCTGTTGCCCTTCTTAACCCGCTCGGACTCTAGCCATTCAGCAACCTGGGCAACAAGCCTCTGGCTCAGGTGTTGATGGTGGTGGTGCACACCGGATGCATCAGGATCAGCTTGGCCTTGAATAGAAGATTGATTGCTCGCTAGGCTGGCCAGAGGCTCGAGGCTGCTCTGGCTCAAGAGGGACGTCCTAGAGGAGTTAGCACCAATGATAGGTGGACGTCCGCTGAGTCGTTTGCCAACACCTGCAGAAAACTGCTTCCTATGATGACTTTCCTCCAATGCTTCCTGTTCTGGCTCCTCAATTTGTACGGCTATATCTGGGTCAGTGGATGGCGTCAAGACGAAGTCATGATGGCTATGAGCGGCTTCATGAGCTGATTGCACCCAAGGAGTGTTTGATGACCAGCACGATTCACACTCAACACAGCCGAGGTATGAGGTGTCAGGAGGAGTCTGTGGCGGTGAACAATAGCCATTGGCGCCAACTCGATATCCATCCATCTTGCCAACAAGATGATTGACCTCCAATGTGTCAAAGCCAGCCATTGTCTACAACTCTTGGTGCAAGGCACACACTCATGTACAATGCTAGAGCGCAAGCTTCTGCTACAACTTGGAGAATGATGGAGGGAAAGAAGGAGTGAAAGAGAAAAAGATCAAGCATATGACCAACCTTTGAGAGGAGGGGTCCGTTCGTGATCGTCCTCGGTCTTGAGGGCAGATCTCAGAGGCTGTGCCCCAGGCGTCGGGGTCGTTGGGTTGGACATGACGATGATGGATGATCAGATAGGCAAGTGGTCGTATCTACCCAGCTCTGTCTGGCACGATATGGAACAAGAACAAGGGCAGGGCGCGCGCGCGCGCAAGGGACGAGATAAGGGTAGGCAGGCAGGTAGTAAGAAGTAAAGCGGAGCTATAACTGGTTCAGGACCTGAGCACTCAGTACATTAGACCGACGGCGATCTGTTTGTTCACGCCACCGAACCGGGACCCCTTTTGATGAAGGACTGCGCTACGTAGATAACAGAAATACGGCCACGAAGTCCTTCTGGGTGTTGGTCGTCCGCGGGGTTCTTCTAATCCGATAAGAGATTCGATCCCCCTCCTCGTTCGGTTTGTGTGGGTTGGTTTTTGTGGGTTGGGAGCCGCCGAGACGGAGAGGTGGTTCCAGCTAATAAATCCGCTGATATGGGCATTTGGCGGGGCGCTGGTAAGGACGCCGGTGCGCTAACGAAAGACACTAATGGGGCTTCTTCCAGCCGCCAGGAGGTCTGTAGCCGCCGCTGTCCTTCCCAGAAGGGTATGACGCTTAATCTCTTGTGTGATTCTACGCGTTTCTTTGGAGTGCTGTATGTTTGCCAGATGCTCAAGCGTGCTCTCAATGTGGACACGTCCGTCAATATTGACCAAGACAGAAGGACAGAACAAAGGAGCTTGTGATACACGACAAACAAGAAAAGTCCTTCTCACTGACTACAATTTAAACAGAACACAAACATAGAAGTGACGTAACGCTAGTTGAGACTGAGACTTTGAGTCTTAGCGTCGCCCAAAACCGGTAGTCGGGGGGATTTCGTTCCTTTACAACGACCGAACTCCGTCGCCTCAACCTTGACCCAGTAGGTAGTGTTGCTATATACCATGGGGACACGCAAATCGTCAGGTATATGTAAACCTCATTTGATTATAGCTTCCTCGGATGCACTATGTACCAGAGACTGCGTCAAAAGAATTAACTATGGGGTATTGTAAAACATCATCCGGTGCCCTGACCCGATAACTAGGCTGGGATTTACCGCCACCCCTCCTGCTTGAGTGCCCAATCCACTGCCGCGGCGACATCATCAACAATCATCTTTGGGCGATGTCTGGGCTCGCCTCGTTCAGCGCTCCAGACGCCAGTCCGCACCAAGACCGACTCCCAACTCGTGCCATCAGGACTTTTAAAGTCATTGGCGCCCCTGATATCGCTTTCGGGATTGTCGCCCACCATGTAGACCCTGCCCAGTGGCTCTATGCTGCTTTGACCCAGCACTTGCGCACGATGGCTATTTAGCACACGCTCTGCGTATCGGTAGGTCTGTTTATAGGGCTTGCCAATGACGGTACGCTGCAGCTCTTCGCCGTTTGTGATCTCCCGCCAGATGCCTGCCATGGCGGCCTGGAAAGCTCCCTGGCCAAAACGTGGGTGATGATAAGCTGCACTCCAAAATAGATCCGGGTTTGAGAAGAACAGAGGAGGTTGGCCATCACTCTGCCAGCCGCCGTTGGGAAGACTGGCCTGGCCGTTCTTGGGCGAATAAGTCCCGAGCACACCCTTCTCCGAGAGGAGCAGATCCGTAATGATTTGAATGTCTAAAGCCCAATCGCGCGGGTCGTTGAACACAAACATGGCGTCAATTTTTGGCTGCGCCGTGGGCAAAGGCCGTGAGGTCGCAGCGTACAATTCCTCCATTAGCGGCTCAAACGGCCAAATGGTCGGGTGAGCGGTCAGAATATCTGCCGGGGTAATGACGTTCTTGAACCCATACGCCTCGGCAATGGTCCGCGACTTGGCTGCGTCCGAGCCCGTGATGAGGATATTCTTGTCCCCGAGTCCCTCGTTGCCGTGCACAAGCTCCTGGAACGGCGTATGCGACTGCACAAAATTATCCGTCGACAGTTCAACGTCAAGCTTCTCGCTGAGCTGGGCAACGCGATCCTTCTCATGTTTTCCTCCACCATTGGTCAGTAGGATGAATGGGATGTTGTTCTTCTGGAGATACTTGAGCGTCTCCGTGGCCCCTGGAATGGGCTTTGCGACGTGAAGCAAGACACCGTCAATGCTGCCGTTGATCAATCAGTACACTGCATTCATAGATAAAGAGATGAGCAGGCACTCGGTGCATAACTCACTCAAATGCAAAGGCAAAAGGCGGCACCTTTCCCTTGCTGCCCAGGCTATATTTCCGGTATCCCGCTTGAGCATAAATGGATTGATCGGTTACATGACTTCGCACGTCGGGGCGCCTAAATGTCTGTATGCTCCGTTGTCCGGATATGACACTCTTGCAACAACTGGTGGCATTGGACCGCGAGCCTGTGCGGGGCCACGATGCGAGTCCTGGGAGTCTGGCTCCGGTGGACGCGAGTCGCGCATATGAAGCACTCATGGTGGTGAGAAAGGGGTTGACACCTTGACACGGCTTGTTAGAACTTTTAGGTCGCTGTTCAACTCTTTGGAATAAATCGAATTACTCAAAGTCGTGATATCAGTCTCCGATATGATCCGAGTTGACTAGAAAGAGTGGACCAATTGTTTTGATTGCACCAAGGTTCCAGTCGGTTCGTTCATTAAAGACGGCAGATGGCAGGCGCAGTGTCAGTGCTGAGGCGGGACCCCACTCGGCCGTCTCCAGCGCGCTCGACTCCCGAGGTCGCTAAAGCTGTGTGGTTTTGGGTGCATCAAGGCAATGTGGTACGGAACGTACATCTCCATTTGCCGGAAACGTTATTCGACATAGTTTTTGCATCTCCTGGATTTCAAGATTTGTCTGCTTGATATACATTATCGTGGACAATCCTACCATCATCATTGTGAACTGTGTTTTCTTAGAATGAAGCCCCTCATTTTCACATACAGCTGAGCCTCTCAAGTAAGCTCACCACTACAAAAGCGACAAAGTACCCGAAGATGTCGATAGGCGACACTCTGAGCTCCGGGGGGGATTATAGCAAGGCAGCAGAGGTGAGCATGGCGATAAGAAATGGTAATCAAGAAGTGATGGGATAAGCTATCAGGCAATACTCTCACTATCCCGCGCATATTGCAGATGCTGAAGAATTGGCTGAGCACAGGCGGCATCAAGCGCATCTTTCATAAAATATCAACACTGGCACTTCCATTGATCTTACCAAGTCTCATCACATGCATTGAGAGCTTCATCCCGGCAGAACCGCGGGTCTTTGTTCGTCGCACAAGCAGCACTCCGCTGCCTGTCGCCTTGCAGGAGATTCATAAGGCTGAATCTCACCGCGCGGGGTATGTTGCCCAATTCCAGCTTCCTCATCTTACACTTCACGGCAGGTTCGCTCCAAATCATCATTACACGATGTGGCTGATTAGTACCGTCGATTTGAGTCTCGTGTTTCATTATGAGTGCCCCGAAATGCAGTACGCCATTCTGTCACATACATGGGAAGAAGATGAAGTCAGCTTCCAAGACTTCAAGGATCTGGCTTCGGCACGGCTGAAAAAGGGTTTCTCCAAGATATACTGGACAGTATACCTGGCGCGCCAACGGGGCTTGAAATGGGCTTGGGTAGACACGTGAGTGATCTCTCAATTGGCGATTATGACTTCTAGAATATGTAACATTCTGGATGATTGATAGGTGCGATGAATCATAAGCATCTGGCTAATAATGAGAAATACAGCTGTTGTATAGACAAGTCTAGTAGCGCCGAGCTGTCTGAAGCAATCAATTCAATGTATAGGTGGTACCAAAAGTCAGCCATTTGCTACGCCTTCCTCTCTGACTTGCCCTCGAATGGCGAGCAACGACTTGAGGACTTTCAGAAGTGTCGTGTAAGCAACTTCCGATGTCGTCTCTCTCCTTTTCTGGGTTGTCTCATGAGCAAGCATTGCCTAAATTGGTGCTCGAAGAGAGCAGGCTCAGACAAATTACTTGAAAGAGCTGCTTCGGACTCATTTATCTACCCTGATGGGCTATTGCTAACACATGTTGTTGTAGTGGTGGACTAGAGGCTGGACTCTGCAAGAACTCATCGCACCAGGAGAAGTCAATTTCTACGACCAAAACTGGGGATACTACGGCAAAAGGACTGATCTCCAAGAGAAAATCAAGTCCTTTACTGGGATTTCATTAATTGCCTATCAGGGAAGGCTGAATGATTTGTCAGTAGCACAACGCATGTCATGGGTCTCTCGCAGAACGACTGCGCGAACCGAAGACATGGCATACTGTCTCCTTGGACTTTTTGACGTCAACATGCCTATGATCTATGGGGAGGGCGACAAGGCGTTTATCAGATTACAGGAAGAAATCTGCAAGAACAGTTCTGATCCCACAATCTTTGCCTGGACAATACAACCTTCTTTGAGAACATACAAAGAGTCTCAAAAGCACTATGGCCTACTTGCTTCCCACCCCGCTGAGTTTGCCGGCTGCGCAAACATATTTCACAACTTCACAACTCAGTGGAGCGATGTCAATTACAACATATCCATTGGCGGCAGCAGGGAAATCATCTTTGACCGCTTAAGTCTACGAATAGATGAAGACTACGGACTTCTGGTGCACATTGGATTGGCTGAATCAACTGAATTTGGTACTTTTAGGATTTTCGTTCCTGTTAAGAAAACGATTGGACATCATGTCAGGTCGTTTCCCGATCGTCTCATAGGAATTCCCGAAGAGGGGCAACCCATCCCCCCTGGCCCTGAAATCGACGAACCATTTCTCAAGATTTCGGTAATCAAGGATTACGAATTCAGCCATGCGCGATTATTGTACATTTCTCGCTCGGCTGTGTCGTGTCCAAAGCGTCTCACATACGATGATTCTGTGAGGATCGACGAACTCCATGAACAAGCTCTCCTCATCAAAGTTGATCCAAACATGCAAATATCGGCTGCGTATCCAGAAAACTTCTGGATCCCAGACAAAAGAGCCTTTCTCGGTACGTAATATCAGGCAAGAACCAAAGCCTCTTCAATCATTTTGAAAGCCAAAAAGACGAGAAGTTGGCTGACTCCCAATTGTGTAGTGCCTGATACGCTCACTTGTGCAATCTTCATAAATTTCAAACATGGGGAACCGGATACAAGGCTCCACTCATTAATTCTTCTCATCTTTTGCATGAGATCTACTGATCGCGAACGTTATAAGTATCTCGCTTTTAAGGTCTTAGACTCAGAAAATAGACAAAAGGAACCGCAGCGTGAAGAAAACACACTCCACGAACTTGTACAACATATAAAAGAAGAGAAGATGACGACGATGACAGTCTGGCCGAGCTTGTACAAAGCATTGTATGGAGGAGACTACGGTGAATGGAATGAGCCACCAGGGGAGGTTCGAACCTCGACGTGGCGAGCTCGAGAAGACATATGCGAAATACAAGCAGAGGTAGACACTGAACAGATGGCTTCCGGCAAAGCTGTTCTGAGTCTACGTGTGGTTTACTGAGAAAGGGTTGTTCAAGACCCCACCCTATATTTGAGATTATTGCCAGGTGGGACTTGATACAGTTCGCACCCGAAGATTCAAGAAGATCAAACAAAATATGCAAACCAACATGAACGTCGTTTTGATATCATTCTATTGCGAATCTGACAACATTACGCGTTATATGGTACATACCAGGTAGGTCTGGGCTCCGGTATAGTGTATGGTATCTCTCAAAAACAAACAAAAGGAAACGCAATCATTATCGGTGAGCCGCTCCTCCCTCCATTCTGCAACCTTTTGCAAAGCCTGCAATATTGCCATGTCGGAATATGTATCAGAGGTGAGTATGTACATTATTAAGAGATGAACTTTGATATTTACGCCTGCTTAGAGCGCATAGTTCTCGGTATGCAAAAAGATCTCCTCGAGGAGATCATCACCCCAGATCTCGGCCTGGAGCCGCGCCACGGTATTGGCGACGCCGACGCGCATGCTGGGCGGGCCGCAGACAAAGACGGCCGTCCGGCGACCGAGGATGCCGCGGCCGTCGGGCCCGCCCGTCGCCCACTCCTTGAGCATGTAGCCCAGGTCGGGCCGGCCGTACTCGACGCTCCAGCCGCCGTCGATCTGGTGCGGTACCGGAAAGGCAAAGCGCATGAGGGACTTTTGGAACTCGGTCGGCGTCTCGGGGAAGCCAAAGTCAAAGCCCGAGGGCGGGCCAAAGGTGGAGGTTGGCCGGGGGGCGTTTTGGCCCGGCAGGTTCGTGGTCCGGAGGTGTGCGAGCTCGGGCGGTCCCGGCAGGTTCTCAGCAGGCTGTGGCGGCTGTCCTTCCGCGGGTTGGTTGTCGGACGTTTCGATCCTGTGCGGTGATGGGGGCGCAAAGTTGAAGTGAGGTTTCATCTCTGGGCGCGTCTGGAGGGGCGGGAAGTGAAACTGTCGTTTCGGCTTCTCCTCTGGGTAATCTGATGACGGTACCTGAGAGATAGAATCTTGTTGGTGCAATTCTTCATCGCCACGGCCTTCGAGCCTAGCCAAGGATTCCTCTTGTGCCGATTCGCGGTTGACTGGTTGCGGCCGCTGAGGCGGTATATAGTGCGGTTGTAGGTACTGTTGCGCCGGCAAAGCCGTGATTCTGTCTTCGTCCTCGGCTCGGAGCTCTTCTTCGTAATCTGGGTTGCCTTGCGCCTCGTCCCGAATCCACGCCGAGTTTCGCTTCGAGGCAACACCAGCTACAAACCCATCCAGCTTGTCGTGGAAAACGTGGCTCAGGTGACCTGGAGCGCGGTGGTGTCCAGGGCCCATGGGTCTCTGCCTGACAGCCGAAGTGACAAAGAACTTGCAAGTGACACTCTCTGGAGGCGCAGAATCTCGGCAAATTCGAAGCTCCTCACGGAACCAGTCCATTGCCTCCAAGCGCTTCAATGCCCAAATGACCACGACTTTCTTGGTAATGGCCTTTCCATCTCGCATTCGTTTGATCAGGTTCAGTAATTGCGACATTAAGGAAGTAATACCGCTGCCTCCTGCAATCAAAATACAGGTATCGAATGCAGCCAACTCCCTGCGCATTCCGCCATAAGGTCCGTCGAGATAGGCACGGTAAGTGTGGAAAGGTCCTTTCTGAATCGCAGTCTCGAGGACCCTGCGCGTAAACCCGCCATAAGGCTTGAAGACGAGAACGCAGTCACGAAATTGCTCACCGTATTCGGATGGAAAGTCTTCGCTGCAAAGCGATGATATGGTGAAAGGATGGTTGTCGAAAAAGGAAATGCCTGGCATTCGCAGGTAGACATACTGCCCCGGTTTCCACTTCATCTGGGTCGGGATCGTGACCTTGATGGCATTTTCCGTCATCAAGGTGATGGCGGCTTCATCGCCTACCATGAAGGCGAGGCGCCATGGCTTTGTCCAGTTGAGGTTGAAGAACCGTGCAATGTAACACAGTGCCCATATCGCGACCGATGCATATAGGTAATCCCAGGAGGCAAGGTAGTTCTTTGTGTGCCAGAACAAGACACCAAGGTAGACGGCACCCACCGGGACGTGCAACGTCACAAAAACTTCAAAGGCAATTCTCCGAATAAATGGCAGTGAGGCGACACACAGCCAGACGAGGGGGACTAAACAAGCAATCCCCGTGCCGTAAATGACTCCACTGCCTTCGGGAAACAAGCGCGAAAATGTCGCCATGCCTCCATCGTCCCACACGGGTTGGATATAGAATGGAATCGTGTGTACCAATGCCAGAAACAGGCACAGGTACCCAGCCCAGCGGTGGAGCACATTCAACCTCTCTGGGCCGATTCCCGTAATGAGGGTGAGAATATTCGCCTTCATGCTGGTGGCGACAATCCATGGTGTCATGGCTACCGCAATCATGCCAGCGCGGATAGCCACGGGAGGGGAACCGTATTGAATGCTCTGCCAGTATAGAGGCTGAAGGAGGAACGTATATAATGTGACAAACGCCAGGGCAACGGCGCCAACTGCCAGCACCGCAAGTGAAGAGAACGTGAATCGATGTCTTCGCCAGACGATATCTGGGATCGGGCGGTAAAAGACCCATCTGAACAAAGCCAGCGCATCGAGTACGGGTCCTATCGACGAAAAGTCGGTTTTGGGTTTGAAGTCCTTCTTCTTCTTCTCGGGTTCCTCTGGGAAGAAGTGCCTCCCAGTTTGCCCTGTTTGCATCCCAGTATGTGGAAAGCCAGGGCTCATGCTGTAGAGGTCTTCATAATGTCTCTCCACCTCTTGCTTGTAGATGGCCTGTCGAATCTTGTCTTGCCACCAATGCCATATTCTCACGAGTAGGACACAACCCATCAAAGCCAGCGAGAAGTATGTCCAACCCAAGGCGTATTTGCCCGACTTATCCCAAGGGTCCACAGTCAGAGCTTCCACCAAGCCAGCGGGACTTGTTGCCGTCAATGGAATATGTATCCGTTTCGTAAGTCTCGTGAGGTTTTCCGTTGCACCTGCAACAAATTCTCGTGCGATTGTTGCCATCTTGTGTGTGTTTATCGCAAGGCTCTTTAGAAAGAGCCCTTGTTTTTCTTTACCGCGCCGAAATCATAGCAAGTCGTGCAGAAGCAGTGCAAATCGCCGCGCGCGCCTGTGCTCGAATAGTTATGTTTGAAGATAGTTGCAAGTGTATTTCTGTTTTCGTTCTGCCATTTATTTCGAGACCGACTTGGTACACATCGGACAGGCGAAAAGGGTCAATAGAAATGTAGACATGGAAGCAACATGACGGCCATTTGAAGATTGACAGGACAAGCAGCTGAGGGAAGTCGTCGCGTGAAGTGGCGCGATTGACTTTTAGCTGTCATCCGAGGAGGATGACCTGTGTTATAGTCCGCGGAGGGCGGAGCGGGAGATAGTGGGCCAGCGATATTCTTCAGATCGATAATCTTCAGGTGGCGTCCAACCGCGCGTAAGGGATAGCCAGGGCCCCAACTATTATAATAGTGTGAAATTTGACCTGAACGGTGGGGCCAAGGTCTGTAAAGTCAAGCTCAACAGTAGGTGAACCAGTGAATGAGAGAGCAGAGCCGACTGGTGTGAAATTGGACTTGGCAGGTGAATGGGGGCATTACCGGAATGGCACACGACCCAGCGGCTGATGGCACTTTAATATTGGCTGGTTGTGCAGATGGTTGTTCCCCGCAGACTGCGAGTTGCACGGAACAGGTGTACATATGCAAAGTATGACCGGGGGCCCTACCTACAAGGCACAACAGGTGAATGTGCTTCTCGCGGGACTTACCTAGGACGGGCCGTTATCACTGCAGAGAATGCCAGTGATGTCCAGGAACAGGAGGAGGCGTCCAGGGTAGCTGACAAGGGTTTGTGCTGAGCTCGACACATTTTGCATTGCCCATCTCGCCCATCTACAGAAAAAAATACGGAGCTGTTGGTTGTTACTAAAGCTTCTGCAAGGATAGTCTGGGTCAGTTCAATATTCATGGCAAATCAACTCAAATGAGCTCTTTGAATGAAGTGAGAGTAAGAGAATGACTCCTCTCATCTCGACTTTGCTGCTGCGCGGTATGTAGCAACTTCGTGAGACCCCGAGAGGGATATTATCGCAGGAAGAGCATTGTCACTCCTTCTTCCTCACGAGAGCTTCTCCTCAAAGTAAGTTTCTGGCTTCCTCCACACCCTTTGGAGTGAATGCTTTTCCACATTGTGGCCAACTAAAAGCAAGATCCGGGGCCATTACGGAGGGCCCACTGTTCGCTGTCAGAGTTGATAGGCCGGGCCAGGTCGGACAATATGATTGCGGTCTTGGACCTCGTGGTTGCATCGAATAACAGTCGGTACTGCAGTGGGCTTCCACGAGGTTCGTCGTAAGACCATATTGGCTAAGAACTTAGTAAAGCAGAGGGAAGCGACAGGCGAACGGGATTCGACGATAGAGCAGATGAGCTTGTCCGTGTAGTAGATCCAGTGGGTCGCATCGCGGGCGGCAATACGACGATCGTGATTGGTTGATGCTCACATATTTATCCAAGGGACTCCACTCCATCTAAATTCCTTTCACACTGCATTCAGCATGGAACGAACCTGGCGCCCCGAGCCAAATAGTGCCACATCCCGTTCTAGGTAGAAGTCGTCTCGCTTTGGGGGCTTGGATACAAGAATGGCTTGTCCCTCTTTTTTCGTCACAGTCCGAAGTTGCCGACGTGACTCTCGGATGGTTGCGTAAGACTTGTCATGCAACCTCCATATGCGTTCCATACTGTTGGTAAATTGCAACCGTGATCTGTGTGCGTTGGCCAGCTTTTGTGCTGCAGTTGTGTCCAAGATGCGGTATGCAGCAGGTACAGGGCGCGGATTGATTGCATTGATTCGTGTGAGCACAAACCTACATCCTACAGATTACTTGCTGCTGCGTGACGCGAGGAATAGAACGGCCTGTAACCGAAGACGGCCGCTGTCTGTCGATGCTCTCGTTTTGTGCTACAAGTCATGCATGTACATGTTGTTTCGACGGGCGCGGCAGATCCAAAAATGTGACCAAACGATAGCAAACCGATGCCAGCGCCCGCAAGGTAAAGAAAGACCTGATGATATACCGAAGACTACGAAATATAGATACAAGTGAAAGCAAATGGGCTTTGGTTGACAAGTGGGGCCCAGCCCAGATTGGACCTGTACTCTGTACGACTTTGGTGAACGATCATCTTGATACCAGCCGACGACTTACCATACGTAGCACCGATTCTTTCTCATGATCGCTACTTAGCCCACCAGAAGATTGAGTATTTCTGATTTGGACAGACCGAAGAACATTAAATGCCCTCATGTTGCCTGGGGCTTATTCGTCGTACGTAGGTTTGGCTAAGAATTGCTCATAGAAACCAACCCGAAACGGAAAATGGAGACTGGACATTATTAATCTAGAGATCTGGAGTAGACTTACAAGACGGCAACAAGTAGAATCATCACCCATCGGTTCAACTATAAAATCTGTTAGCAAAACATATCGATTGGTAACGAATCAAGTCCTGCACTTCATTCTCAAGTATTGAATATATCGTTGCGACAATGGCATTCGTTCCAACCACATCGGCAGAGACAAGACAATGGCTCTTGAGGGTATAGAAAGCTCTAATCATCAAGGTGGATTCAAGACATGGCTTACTGAATGTATATCTAGTTCCACTCTGTCAACGACTCACTCGACCCTCAAAATCTGCCGACGATATATGCCCAGAATGCGAGCATGCGATTTGGCAACGCGCCTGTCATTCAGGGCATCGAGGCGCTGAAGAGTCATTTCGCATCGAGCTGGCAGGGTTTGTATAGTATGCACCATGAGATTGCCGAGTTTGGTAAGGACACATGCGAGTTGAATAAATTACACAGTTGGCTGACGGTTAGATGTCTGTAGATCTTATCGGGAATGACAAGATCTACCAGTCTTGTCATATAACCTGGAAAGTCAAAAACGACCCAAAGAAAGAAACGATTGTGGTACCCGCAATGGCTGTGATGCACTTGGTAACATCAGGCGCTGAGAAGGGGCTGATTTCCAGCGCCGAATTCTACATGGACCCTGCGCCTCTGATCGCTGCATTTACTAGGGTTGGCTGAGGATATGCAATTGGGGGCCGCGGAATATGCAAACACAACTGAAAATAACTTGCTTCTATATTGATTGTGGCGGATGGAGTTCATATCGTGCAGAGGTTGTCACAAACAGACGATTCGATCAGAATGGAATCTGTAACGTGTACAAATCGACCAAAGTCTTGTAACTCGCCAGTGTGGTAACTGCAAACAAAGCCCACTAGAATAGGTGCATTCTGTGACACCGTGCTCAAGCTCTTAGTGACGCCCGAGCCCCACTACCCCGCGAAAAACCAATGGGTCTCAGCAGGCATTGCGAGAAGGCTGAACGTAGCAGGGGAGGGAAGGAAAAAAAAAAAATGATAAGCTCAAGTGAGCTTCAACTCAACATTTCGTAATTGGCCATTGGAGAAAAGGGCCATTTTGTTCAAACCCTCCAGTGCAGCCGCCAGTAGAAGTCAAGATGGCCTCGTCAAACTCCTTGCATCTCTCCAGCGCGACATTCGCAAAGCTTTCGCCACACCCTTTTCTGCTGGCCAACCTCCAACCCGATGATGCCTCGAGCCCTTCCACTCGCACAAACAAACGCCAGCCAAAGCAGCCCCGGTTACCGTATATCAACACATCCTCGCTGTCCCACGCACACGGCAGCGCCATTGTGCGCACCGGCGACACCACGGTGATATGCGGCGTTCGCGGTGAGACTTTGCTCACCTCGGCCATTCCTAACTATCGCGCTCCCGACGATTCGAGCGGCGCCAATGTAGACGAGGCCAAGGACTACGACCTGCTCGTGCCCAACATTGAGCTTGCTACAGGATGCGCTCCCAACTTCCTACCAGGCGTGCCACCGACGACGCTCGCACAGACGCTGAGCACGCGAGTCTACTCTTTATTGCACAACTCAAAGCTTATAGACGTATCCCAATTACGCATCTATTCGAACCCTGAACAGACCGATCGCGACCAAGATGGAAGGCCTGGCGAGGCCATGGACGCTGATGAAACCGACGAATTTGCATCAGACGAAAGAATAGTCAAGGCGTACTGGGTGTTGTACATTGACGTCCTCTTCATTTCGTTTGACGGCAACCCCTTTGACGCCGCCTGGGCGGCCATACTTGCTGCACTCCGGGACACCACACTGCCCCTCGCGCACTGGGATGCCGACAGAGAAATGGTGTTATGCCAACAAGAGACCTCCCCACTGAGCCTGCGAGGATTTCCGGTGGCGACTACTGCAGCAATCTTTACGGCAAAGGAGAGACAGAAGAAGGGCGGCGGCAAGTATTGGACACTTGTGGACCCGGATAGACTCGAAGAATCCCTGTGTGACGAGACCGTGACGATAGTCGTGGACCGCAGCAACGGCGACACCAAGTTTCTGGGAATCTCAAAGAGCGGCGGCACAATCGTGGGTCCGGAGCTGATAAGAGACTTGGCTACAGTGGCCGAGTCACGGTGGGAGGACTTCCGAAAGGCTACAAAATAAAGTGGATGCCACCCGCTCAAAAAGTATTCAATATGCCTGAGATGGCGCGTTGATGGCAATACTGCACAGATGATCGTTACACGTTCAGAGCGTCCACTATGATGAATTCTTCGAGGAAGATGTCCGTCGCCACTAGACTCGTTTACTGAAACACCAGACTTGGAGCAAAGAATCTTGTATCCGCTTGTAGCTGGAAATAACCGAGAGAAAACAGTCGGAACTGATCTAGCGGACAGAGCTTCTCGCAAATCATACGAGAAGCACAGAGACGCTGGCCGAGCTGCTGGCCAGGTGGCAGACTAGTGGAAAGGTTGATGTTTCCACCTGTATCAGAGAGATTGCAGGTCCTCTCGAAGAGAATGAAGGATTGAAATGTTAAATCAGAATACCTTCTGGTAGAGAAGTCTACAATTCCCCGGAAGGTTGAAACAATAAAATAATAACAACATCACTGTCACTTATACTTGAGCCATTTATGATGTTATGTTGGGAGCTGTCATTGAGACATGTAAGTACTAGCAGGCGCGAAGGCGCTCGCGACTTGTAAATGGTGCCAATGCTGGGCCTGGCACGCCTTCATTAACATGCGGACTACATAGTTCCTACGAATTCTGACTCAAATCACGGGCGGGAATCGCCCTTCATTGCCATGGCCGAGTCCAAGTCCCATAGACTTTAAAAATCTGGCAGACTCAGGACTTCTATTGGCTCTAGCAGCGTCCACATCCGAGACTCCTAGGCTAACCACCACATGCACCAAGGCCTCGAACTGTAAGACCGTGATTTCGAAGATATCAAACCACTCTTTGACTGTTGTTGCGTTCTGAATCGGGAACACGTCGTGGGCATGGCTTGCAATAGTTGTCAAAATGTCAGTCTTTGAGATGAGCGAACTGGGAGTATCCCCAGCCGCATTTTGCGGCGACTTCAGGACCACAGTGTTTGGTTGGCCTAGAGCATATTGGCAAATCTTCTTCTGTTCAAATTTGAAAGGTGTGTCATCAGAGTTATAAAGGGATCATATTTTTCAGTTGCAAGGCGTATGCTTTGCAGTGTATACTATAGAGAGCGCGGTTATTGGTGGGTTGATTTGTCCGCTATAGAACGTGTTATTACATCATTCCGGTGGGCGCGCATACTATTCAGCACCTCTCGCCCTCTGATGCAAACAATTGCGGGAGTGACTAATCACCGGCCTTTCAATACTACGAAACTTCTATCGTTATTCCGAATACTATCGATATCATTTCCGAGACCGGTGCAGCGGTCCAACACCTGCTCAAAGCTCATCAGGGCAAGTCGATTCGCTATAATGATTACCGTATTTTAATCCGAATGGCACGATGTCGTCCACGGACGTAAGGATAACAGGAGACGGCTTGCATTCCGCTGGCCCGCGGTGAGCAGATAGTTCGTGCTACTTCAGATGAAAAGTCAAGCACGCTCACTCCAATATAAATTTGTGATCTCACGTCTCTCAGTACCAATCGAGTTTCGACCGCAAACCAGATCCTCTCAGACATCTGCTTCCATTTCTCGCACATCGACTCGTAAACCCGCCATCATGAGAGGTTTCTTTACTTGCCTTTCGGTCTTGCCAGCCCTCCTCAACTTGGCCGCAGGGATTTCCATCAAGAGAGCATCAAAGGATCCGTACTTTCTCCTCATTGGAGACTCTACCGTCGCGGTGAATGGTGGTTGGGGCGATGGCTTCTTGTCTTATCTCAGGAACGGAGCCGAGGGAGAGAATCGAGGCAAAAGCGGATCTACAACTGCCTCGTGGAAGGCAAACGGCAGATGGGCAGACCTTTTGACGACTGTCGCGGACGAAAAAGACGCCAAGGAGCCCATTGTGACTATTCAGTTTGGACATAATGACCAGAAGTCTTTGACTCTGGACGAATACCGAGCAAACTTGGTCAATATAACCACGACTCTGAAGGAGGCCGGGGCCACACCAGTAGGTTTCTCCGAGTCTTTGAAGAGCGCTAGATCATTCATTAATTTTTTTCCTAATTTGTTTCGAACAGATCATCATCACGCCGCTTACTCGTCGCAACTTTGACGGCGATGAAGTGCAGCAAGACTTTGTCGAGTGGAGAGGCAAGGCCATTGCAGTCGCCAAGGAGGTTGGGATCAAGTGGCTGGACCTCACTCAGGCGAGCACGAATTATATAAATGCCATTGGTGCCGAGAACGCTTCATATTATGACCTGAGCGAAGGTGACGGTACGCACCTCAACACGGCGGGCCAGACGGTCTTTGGGCGGATGGTGGCAGACCTCTTGCTTGAGAAGCGCACCGATCTCTCCACGTTTTTTACGCCGAATGAGGCACTGAGCGACAAGATCTCGGCTGGGGAGTTTGCTACCGGCGATGAATAAGCGGAGGTAGTAGATCCTTGTAATTAATTGGGAAGGGTAATCTTTCGCTGACGTTGGGGCTTGGGAACACTTTCGTAACTAGTTGTCAAGTATATTCAATCTGCGTGACCGGCGGCCGCGGTCCATCACTTGACTCAATGGTAAAAATATTGAGCTGTGGTACCTGAACTACATACATACATACCTGGCAGATGAATTGATCGGGTCCAGCTCGTATTCGCATGGCCTCGGGTGCACTCGTATATCTTCGGATGCACTCGGTGTAGGTGAGGCCAGTTCCGCAAATTCGATGAGGCCTAGCCTAGAGAGGAGGCAATGCGCAATCCTGCATGGATCAGCAGTTCGTCCCATTGGTATATAAACGGTCTGCGCTGCGAATAGGTGAATGTCATCAGGCGTCTTGGTCACTTCCACCTTGTATGTCATCATGAGAATGAGAATGTCGATCATGAGTGTGCGCGCTGCTGGCATGATGGCCATGCTGGGCCTCACTCCGGTGCCGCTCGGTATTATGGCTCATCCCCTCAACTCGACGACCCCAAGCCTCAACGACTGGATGACCTGCAATGGCAAACTCTACTTCGGTACAGCCGCCTCCCCCTCTCACTTCGACGACACCAGGTGGATGGAGATTCTCAAAAACCACCACCACTTTGGTCAAGTCACCCCGGAGAACTCACAAAAGGTTCGTCCCGTCATCTCACTGTTCCGGCTCAAGTCACTGACAGCGGCGCCGAAGTGGAAATCCACAGAACCCGAACGTGGTGTCTTCAACTTTACCACGGCCGATATCAATATGCGTGAAGCACAGAAAAATAACCAGCTCGTCCGCTGTCATACGCTAATATGGTACAACGACCTTCCAGATTGGCTGAGCACGACGACGTGGGACAACGCCACGCTCATTGCGGTCATGGAGAACCATATCAAGGAGGTTGTAACCCATTTTAGGGGCCAATGCCGCTCGTGGGACGTTGTGAACGAAGCCCTCAATGACGATGGAACTTATCGCCAGACCTTGTGGTACAATACCATTGGACCCGCGTACATATCAATGGCTTACGACATGGTTGCCAAGTACGATCCCGATGCCAAGCTTTACTACAATGACTACGGCATCGAGTCGATCAACAACAAGTCTCTCGCTGCGATGGAGCTTGTCCGGGGACTTAAGGACCAGGGCAATCGCATTGACGGCGTGGGGCTACAAGCCCATTACCCCGTGGTCCTGGCTCCAAGCTACGATGACCAGGTGCAGGTTATGCAGGCATTCGCCAATCTGGGCGTCGAGGTGGCCCTTACCGAGCTCGATGTCTTCATCGAGATTCCAGAAACGCAGTCGCAGGTCGATACCCAGGCGCAGATATACGCAGATTCCGTGCGCGCCTGTGTCGACGTTCCTGCCTGCATTGGCGTGACCGTCTGGGGATTCTACGACCCTTATTCTTGGGTGAACAATGATACTGTTCCCGGATACGGCGATCCCGACTTGTGGTGGGCAAATTACACCACAAAACCGGCCTACACTGCTATTGGGGACATCTTGGGTGGCTGCTAGCGTCATCATTCTGGAAGCCGTGGCGTTGATCAGTGTGCTCAAGCACAGCTTGGTGTGTGGGATCTATCATTCACCATCTGACAGTAATGGAGGACACGGGCCGCAGTTCGAAAATGCCTTACTCTTATACTCTCACCTGAGTCAATGTGCAGGGAAAGATGTGATCGGAGGAGTTTCTTAAATATATCTGAGTTGATGAACCTACAAGCTAGAAAAAAGAGGCGCTGAAGAGCTACCTAGTATACCCGAGCAGATAATATGCGGTAGGTGTGTACCGACTACGTCAGTGCAGCAGATCTACTAACACCAGTAGATTGCACCTTTGAGCCACCCTTAGATATCAAATTGGACCATATAACTCTGCTTCGGTTATCTCGAGTGCTCCAGATAGGCTGTTGATTTGAACAGTTGAACCCTCGGTCGCGTTGAACTCTGCTGTCCAGTAACCTAAACCTGCTGTTGAGCGACCGGACCAGACAACAGTGTCGTCGACAGATACACTGATAGCATGGGTGGATTTGAAGCTCCGGAATTTGATATTTACCGCGTTCACGGTTGCTGATGCTGCAAGCTGATAGCGGATCCAAGCTGTGGATGTGCTACTGTTGCTTCGCCAGATGGTGGTTTCATCGTCATCGTAGGTCTCCTCGGCAGTGTCTTCGCTAGAGCCTGCTATGACGGAGCTGACAGTCAATGTCTTGCGACTAACAGTGTACGATGCGCCCAGAGGGGTCGGCCCGCGCGAGAGGTCGCTAGGAAGACCATTTGACGGCAACTCGAGACTCAATACGTTGCTACTCAGGAATGGGGTCGATTGAAGCACGAGGGAGGCTGAAGCAAGTCCACTGGCAGTGGCTGTGAGCGTTACTTTTCCTGCCTTGGTCGTCGACCGTACGAGAACCGATTGACCCCGTTCTCAACCGGCAGGGTCTTTGACAGTATATAATTGTCAGATCTCCCTACCGCTATTCCTCCGCGCCACTCAGCTTCACCAGATAGCGAGAAAGTGATAGTATCGAGAGCAGTCGGGACACGTATTCCGGCACTATCAACTACCTCGACGTCAATCAAAGCTACGTCGGTACCCGACGCACGGAATCCTAGCGGTGATGTATTGGCGAAGAGGCGAATGGAAGCAGATTGGCCTGTTGTGGATTTCCGGTCACTCGTAATCGATTTGCCCGATGTTGCGTTGTAACCGTATGCTGCTATCTCTCCTGATGCCCACTGGACTTGAGGGAAGGTGAATAGAAACCGGTCCGACTGAGTTCCATTTCCAAGAGACTTTCCATTAAGTTTTAGTTCAACTCGGTCGGCAGTCGATACGACGTAAACGTCTTTAACCGTTGATGTATTATAATTCCAGTGTCCAATAATATGAGCCGTGGGTCTTTCGATGTCGACCCATTTATCCCACATAACTTGGTGCGCATAATATCCATCTTTAGGTAAGCGCATAGCATCGACTTCCCCCGAGGTCCGGTAGTTTTGCGATCCACGATAATGTGTATTCGAGTCTGAAAAGATAATATTGACACCGCCCGCGTTACATCGAAGCCCACGGCCGGGTCTTTGCTGGTAATATTCGTTCCAACGGACGACGTTTTCAACAGCGTGCGAGTCTTGATTACGATCCCACTCAAGAGCGTAAGATTGATCCTGATGATATGGCGCAGTGAAGTTATCCCAGTATTTCCTGATCCCTTCATCACGTGAATATTCCATTTGCCAAAGAGGGGTATCGAGTGCTTTATTGATATAGAGCATTTCTCCTCCGTATTCTGCAATGGAGCTGTTGAGCATTTCGCGCGATCCGGCTGCGCGTCCACCGTAAGGATCGTATGTGTCGCGAATGTCCTTCATGTCTTGCATGTGCTGTTCCGTTATACCGTGATTCCCGCTTTCGTAAAAGAAAATGCTTGGGCTATTCTTGTTGTAAATAATAGCATCTCGCATTAAATCCAATCTTTCTTGCCACTGGTGGCCATCGACATCCCCTTCTGCGTCTCCTGCAGGCATAGCCATCATAAGACCAAGCCTATCCAAAGACTCGATATCTTGTCTCCAGGGTGTAACATGCATCCATCGAATTAGATTTGCATTGCTTCGGAGAGCCATTCTGTTGGAGAAATCGGAAAGCCATGCAGGGACAGCGGACCCCAGTGAAGGCCATTCATTAGTCGAACGTTGTGCGTAGCCTTTGATTTGAAGAGCTCGACCATTAAGAATCACCATACCGTCTTCGAATTATGCCTTTCGGAAGCCAGTGGTAATTGTGACATTATCAATCGCACTGCCGGCGACTAGCAAATTTGCCTCGACGGTATAAAGGTAGCCGTATCCCCAGCTCCAGAAATTCAATCCCGAGATGGACGAGGATGCAGTGATTTGTTGAGTTGACCCGGCACTCAACGTAAAAGGCCCACTGGTCATAGTCTGCACTGTTTTACCAGTCCTGTCCTTGACGACAGATTGATAGGTGAATGTCTTTGAGCTGGAGTACTCATTCTAAACTTGGGAAGAACTTGTAATGGTCGCAGATTTACCAAGAATATCGAATTCGCTTGCGTAGACATAGACACCTGTCGTATTCAAATTTGAGTACAAGGGAAGGGTTTGATAAAGCTGGTCTGTAACGTGCAGATACACGTTTTTGTTGATCCCGCCGTAGTTGGCGTAAAAGCCGATATTGTTCCATTGGAATTTGCCATTGTTCGTCACATCGCGGTAGACGTAGCTGTTGTTAATCCTGGCGGCCAAGACGTTTTCCTCGTTGGGAACGGTCAACTTTGTTATATCAAATCCAAAAGCCATGACTCCATTCTCACTCCTTCCAATGAACTCGCCATTCAGATATAACTCTCCTGCTTGTCGAATGCCTTCGAATTCGAGGAAGTACTTTCCACCAGAAGGAGGAATAAAGGTCTTTCGATACCACGCGATACCAGTGGACAGGTTTGCAATGGAGACTAGGAAGGCGTCGTCTTCATTCCAGGCATGGGGCAAGGTAACATCTAACCAAGTGCTGTCGTCAAAGGAGGTGCTTTCGGCACCACTGACATCGCCAACATGTAGCTTCCATGACGGGTTGATGTTGAATGTTGACCTGGCACTCGTGAATGCAAGCGAGGAGGCGGTGACCAATACGAGGACAGCTCTAGAAAAGAACGACTTCATCATTGCTGCTGGATAGATCTCAAAGACTTGGAATATGCAATGTGAATGACCATGTGTGAAAGTGTTTCTTCTACTGCTTAGCCCTTCCTCTAGCTTCTAGTTATAATCTACAGAACATCGCATACCCCATGGTCTCTGTGCGTAGCCTCGTCACGCAAGATTGCGAAGAAGCGAACTGGGCCTTTTCCCCCACCCTCTGTTAGATGCGATTGCTGCCAATGCCCTGGTTTCCCAATATACATATTGATCACAGCTCATATCATATCAACTGGATTGGGCTTTCGATATTCAGACGTATGCAAAAGAGGACTCGATCAAAGAAACAAATTGGAAAAAAGGATCTTTGAATCCTCGTGGTTATCTGTGACGAAGACCCGAAGCCCGGGTGCACGAATGCTGCACAAAACAAATATTGTCCCACGCTTATCACACGAACAAAAGCAATAATTCCCAAATCTTCCACCGCTAAGCAAAATGATTACTGAAACTTTCTCTGACAGATTCTTATGAATTCACCATCTTCGCACTTATGTTAGTCCGGCCAAAATTCATCCACCATTAGCCGTTTGCTTTCCCCGCGAAGCCGCACAAACAATTGAAGACTCATTCGTGGGGGACCCTTGCCATAACCTTTAACTGGCCTCCGCATAAATTCAAAGGGAAAGTACGAGTTATATACAGGTTGAATTCGCCAGGAATCATGCCGAGTATAGCTATTACCCCCTGTAGCTATACACGCCAAGTCTCACCATAGTTCTCCGTGACTATTATGCGTAGATTGGGCTACGAAAATGCAATTTTCCACTGAATATCTCGCCTCTGCCATTGTCAATTGAGACGGCCGCCCGACTTATAAGAGTACTATGAAAAAGGTGCGAACAAGCGACGTTGATCTTTCATTTTTGGTCAAACCAGACAAATCACAGCCAAAACAAGGATTTATTTGGACTTTTGCTGCCATCATGGTCGTATTTTCACTTTATAAATGTCTGTCTGTTTTTAGTCTCCTGAGTAGTCTCTGTACAGCCCAGGAAGTACAGGCAACTCAGAATCTCGAGCGCAGGGCAACAGAATGCATCATTGCGGCCAGAGGGGATGGGGGTGACGATGCGCCAGCCATCAGAACCGCATTCTCTAAATGCAAAAGCAACGGTCACATCATCTTTGCCAATGCGACATACTACATTAACACAGTTCTGGACACAAGGGGCCTGTCTGATGTGACGATTGACATTTGGGGAAAGCTTGTCGTACGTCTCAAAGTGGCGATCATCAGCTACAAATCCTACTTGAAACTTGGCAAAGAGGTGCTGATCTTATTGCAGTGGAGCAAGAACACTACGTATTGGCTCGCAAACTCCATGGACGTAGGATATCAAAACATGAGTACCGTTTGGTTTTTGGGCGGCAAAAACCTCAACGTCCAGGGCCATGGAACGGGAACGTTCGATGGCAATGGTCAGACGTGGTATGACCTAGTCAAGGGAGAGTCCAATTATCCTCGTTAGTCAGAATATGCTCTTGGACTTTTATGTGTGATTGCTCATATATCTCACAGACCGCCCGATGGGCCTCACAATCTGGCAAGCGGAATCTTCCCGTTTCAGTGGGCTGAGCTTCGTCCAATCACAGATGTGGTGGGTAATCCCTGGAATCAAAATGCATTCGGTGCTGATATCATAGGACAATGCTGGTTTCCCATTCGCAAAATGTTGTCCTAGAGAACATATCTGTTCGTTCAACTTCGAGCAACAGCAACGCAGCTCGAAACACGGACGGAATTGACTGAGTTCTTGGACAACATCACTCTCCGTGGTTGGTATATTTACAACTCCGACGACAGCGTCTCCCTGAAAGCGAATGCGACCAATGTCCTCATCGAGGACAGCGTCTTTGAGAATGGGCTAGGGTTCGCTCTCGGATCCATTGGTCAGTACGATGGAAAGTACGAAAGCATCTACAATGTGTACTTGCGCAATATTACGTGTCTCAAGACTCGCTATGGTGCGTATATCAAAACGTGGACCGGAGAACCGGTTGGAGTCCCGCCTAATGGTGGCGGCGGTGGGCTCGGCTGTAAGTCTTGCAACGCCATTCCACACAATATATATCACTGATTTATCCTTCTATGAGACATGAAAAACATCAGTAGGTTTTCCACGTTAACATTTCACCCAAAACACTCCACTAACTAAATGGACTAGCTTGGAAGGATTTCAAACTCAGCGGAGTAAAAAATCAAGCCATGTCTATCTCACAGTGTGTAACATTCAGTGGAGCAACTGGGGACTGCAACTCCTCTCTTTTCAAGATATCAGATGTGTCTTTGGACGAATGGACAGGCGATATTGGAACTAAAGAAGTTAGTCAACTACTCTCTCTCCTCGTTCAATTTTCCTTTGCACCTTGGTCATTGTTGACTAGCACGATTCCACTTTTGCCTTTTGTTCCAAGAAAGAAGAAATAGACTGTGATGTTGATATGAATTATCAGATCGCAAAAATGCAATGTGCCTCCGCATCTGGTGGCTGTCAGCGACTCAGCTTCAGCAATATGAATATAACCTATGCGGGTGCGGCGACATCCTCTTACAAGTGCACAAACGTCCACAATAGCACGGGCACTTGTTCTTCAGCCATAAATTAATACTTTCCAAGTATTTAGGGTGAAACAGGGAGACAAGCAACAATTCCATTGTGATGCAACTAATATTCAACGTATGGATGAAAAGGCTATTGGTAATGGTTTATATTTGATTCTATGACCTCTCATTTTGCTATGACAGATAATCCAATTTTGGTTGTTTCTCACATACAAATGTCACCTATGCCAACATGAGAGGAAAGATGTGATTGTATAGTGCACCCAGCATGACTGAAAAGACTTTGCAGTTTTCATTCAACATCGAAGAGGTGTAAATATGGGGACATCATAAGTGCTCCTACAGTCTGTATTTGGAACAAGGAGCCGCAACAATTAAGCAGATCACGATACAAAGTTCTTGAGACAGTCAAGAATACTTTTTCTTTTTCTTTTTTTCAAAAGGAGAACGACTGTTCACTTTGTCTGCTAATGAGCAAAGGATATTAGCACAGCTTCACTCGACAAAACTTTGACTTTTCCAGATCTGTCCAACTTTTCCACGTGCCGATCGCCTTCAATCATGCCTGTCTCGTTCACCAGTTGACCAGCAAAAGTTATTGCACGTGCAGCCTTGACATCTGCACCAGCAGCTGTTAATCTGGATAACTGAGCTTTGCGACTGATATTCCGTGGCAACTCAAACTCCACATAAGGCCGACTTGTTGCATCATTGGTAGAGTCCCAATCTTCCAAGTTGACAATAACAATTGATGACAAGTTTGTGTCAAGCCGCCGATGTCTCCCGACTTCGTATATGGCGTACGCGACGAGGTGTTTCTCTGATATTAGGAGCTCGACTTGCTTGCCCGCTCCAGCTAATGCAGTCTGAACGACAAGCCAGGCGTAGTAAGATGCCATGACGCCGGAGGGATAAACCCACATTTCGATAGGGTTCCAAGCGGAGTATTTCCATCCAATACCCTGGTGGAATCCTAGACGGCTAATGTTGGTCTGAGCGCAATAGAGAGTATAATCAATGTTCCAAAGGGCGGCAGCGAAAGTGTCCGAGACATTGATTTTTCCATGGCCCTGATTGCGAGTGTTAGTTCTGCATCAATTGGGACTGTGTATCATCACTCACAGAGATAGAGTTCGTCTCTCCGAGCCAATAGTCAAGCCCTTTGGACTTGGCATAAGCTGCAAGCTCAGCGTTGCTGTCAGGGTAATAAATGGTATTATTGTGATTCATTAGAAATTGTCGATCCACGTAGTTGGATGAGGATGTCTCCATATACTTGGGCCACGTTAGCATTACTACAAGGCAGTTTGTGGATTAGCTCTCAAGTAATGATATTTACCTCGTGAACATCCGCGGCCACGCCCAGATCCTCTGCATTGATACCAAGTTCTAGAATTGATCGGATACTCCAGCAATCAATTGACAGAGGGTCCGAACAATTGATCCATGTCGGGGCCTGGAATGCCCCTATGGTCCATACTCGTTCATTTTGCTTGCCAAAAACAGCGTTGCTTATGTTGTAAACATAGTTGAGCCAATGAGGAACGTAGTCGCTTGGTGTCTGCGGCTCGAGAAAACGAAACGCTGGCGCTTTCATTTCATTGCCGACCTGCAAGCCAGTGAGCCTGTTTCCAAGCTTTACGTGTGCTCGCCTTGCGATCTCGATATTGCTTTCAAGGTAGCTGTAGTTGTAATATGAGAAGGGCAAGCCCAGCGTGAACTCCGTATCTGATGGCCATGCGTCAAAAGCATCGTAGAATTTGGGGCCAATAGTAACATTGTAAGTCTTCTGGTAGCCAGTGCTGTCTGGCCAGAACCAAGCGCGTAGCCCCTCCTCCTGGTCTGGGGCCCACCAGACATGGTTCTGTGAAGAGCCTCCAATGCGGACATTGATTGGACGTTTTCCTATTTCCCGAATATTTTTGACAAGGTTATAGTTTAGCGGGTTTGAATATCTTGTTTACATTAGCAAATACGACCGCGACAATGGAGAGATCCGGCCTCACGTAGAGTTACTTGAATAGTCCAAAAAAGAGAAAAATTCGATAGAAAAAGCCTGATAACTTGCGTCGACAATTTGTCGTCCAGCTCGAGGGCTGTGTGGTATATCTAAAACGATGGCATATGCCGCTAGTACCTGGCTCAGGACCAGGAAGAGATTCAAAGGCTGAACCATGATGAACTTTTGATAGATCTTTATTGGCAAGTATGATAAGTACCTAGTTGCTCAAAGTGAAGCGCAGATTTAAGGCAAAGACTTTGCGTAGTTGAATGATTTCTTTATAGTGTCTTATTCGATCAACATCAGATACCTAGCAATCAGGCACAGGTGATCTTTCACGTAAACACATTTTCCAACATGGCCCCCACACTTGATCCTGCATTGTTTCTATGCCAAGCACCGTGGAAAATCCACCAATCAAACAATCAGCTGATCGTTTGCACACGCCTGCAAGTACAGAGAATAGCCAGTCACACCGACTATGACCATCACCTTGTGCGAAAAGATACCGACATGGTGCTCCATAACCTTGGCATCAACCCATAGCTCAACGATGAGGCACATATTATAGCATAGTCACTCGTGTTTCTCCCGCGCGTCCTACCCCTCTCTCCGCATTTTGGCTTTCAACGCCGCCTCATGCAAAGACTCAACTAATTGACGTGAATCATAACCACCGGCCTATAGACCAGGGGTGATTTAAAATCCACAAGAGCTTTGAATATTTATGTCGAACACATAGACCGCAGATACAACTCGTATATTGATTTTAAGTGCAGTAAAAAGAGGTAATATCGATATGGAATTGAGATAATTTAAACGGCTTAAACACGAGGCCCCTCTCAGAGTATTTGCTATAATTTCTGATATTATCAGATTGTTATCACGCTGCGTTTCATACCTTTGTCGGCGATGAGCTTCTTGAAAGATCTCTTGAAGATAAACCCAGATAAATCAAAGGAATGAAACCATTAAGCGTTTATGATTGACAGAACATGAAAAGAGGCAGCAGATAAAGTTTGCGCCTATCATGTCTCATACCTTCATGCATTCTTGAATGCATCGGATTTGCCGGATGATTGTCAATTTTCTGTTGCCCTGTCACCGCCACATTAGGCGTCGCCACCAAATGGACCGAAATTAATGCTCCCACGCACTAAGGGACCATCATTGACGGAAAATAAGAAGAGGTGGTTGATCTGATAAGCGCTTGACAGACCTGATATCATAATGCATCTTCTTCTGTTTGCACAGTTGCTATAATCCGCGTTGAAATGCCCCGGTGACGGATTGCTTTCGCTCATGGCGGCACCGTGATAGCAGGCGCCGTCTGTTGTGAGCACAAGATTTGCCGCAAGATTTGCCGGAGGTCTTGAATTGCAATTATCATAAATTTGAAATTATTTACTTCTTGATGCTGATTCTTGCACTGTAGCAAGTCTTCCATACCTTCATTGTCGACTTGAACTGTTGATTCAATCTTGTGTAGCAATGTTGCCACCATCACTCATATATTTTGTCTGGTTCTTTGGCGCAGTTGAGGCCATTCTGAATGCAACGGAGTCAGCAACTCAATATATCCTTCAAAACGATGATCTTTATGTAGCAGTCAACAAAAGCAACGGCCAAGTCGGGAAGATTCTTCTCCAAGGTGAAAATCTCCTCGGAGCGACGGGCAAAGGCCCTTACGTGGACTGCTCATGTGTACCAAGTGGGTTCTGGGGTCCCGGCAACCCAGATACATCTTCTTATCGTCTGATTACTGGTTCTGACGCTTCTCATACACCCTACGGCGGTATTGTTCTCAATGACAATTACGGAAATCAATCCATCGAACAATACTGGTTCCTTCGAGAGGGTGAAACCGGCATTCACACATTCACTCGAGTATATTACTACAACGGCACGGGCCTTCAGACTCTCGGAGAGTTGCGCACTTTATTCCGGCCCAACACGGATCTCTGGACTCACTTGTATGCCAACCAAGACAACTGGGCACCCCGGCCCACTTCTGAGGGTGTTCCGGCTCAAGATGCAACAGGATACGTTGGAAACCTGACCGATATGGCCTACGTTCAGCAATACGCCAACTTTTTCACCAAATATGCCTTTGCGGATCAATGGCGAAACCATAAAGTGCATGGAATGTATGCAGACGGATCTACCAGTAAAGGGAATGTCACCTATGGTGCATGGCTAGTACATAACACTGTGGAAACGTACTATGGTGGCCCCTTGCACTCGGATATAATGGTTGACGGCATAGTGGTCAGTACTTTGAGAAAAATTCTATCCGTGGCTGTCTTGTGGTAACATATTGTGGTGCACAGTACAATTACATCGTGTCCAGTCATCATGGAGCGCGAACGCCGAATATGACGGATGGATTTGACCGCACCTTTGGGCCACAGTACCATCATTTCAACAAAAATGGTTCACTCCAAGAACTTGCGGCGGACGCTGCACAATATGCAGATCCGGCCTGGAATGCTGATTTCTATGATGAATTAGCAAATCACGTGCCCAACTATGTCGTCAGTTCACGGCGTACCACCTTTGAGGCGACTATTTCTGTGCCAAAGACTGCCAGAGAGCCGATAGCAGTGCTAGCAGAAAACCATCAAGACTTTCAAAGCAACACTATTCATGGCGATAGCTTGCAATACTGGGCAGAGATTTCTAGCAGTGGAGAGATTGAGATACCCAGGGTGAAGGAGGGCACGTACAGATTAACAATCTATGCGGATGGTGTATTTGGATGGTTTATCCAAGACGACATTCGAGTGAGCACCTCCAACAAGACCGTGCCGCATTTCACCTGGAGCGAGGAAGAAGCAGGGACAGAAATATGGCGCATCGGCACTCCAGATAAGTCTGCGGGGGAGTTCAAGCACGGCAAGCAACCATACAAGGAAAAAGAGCTGCAGCCTGATCAGTTCCGCATGTATTGGGCCCTCTGGGACTTCCCATCCGACTTTCCCGATGGGGTCAACTATAAAGTGGGAGAAAGCGTTCCCGAGGAGGACTTCAACTACATTCATTGGAGTGTCATTTCACAACCGGGCAACTTTTTCCGTTCTGAGCCGTACTACGATAATGTCAACAACTGGACGATTCGTTTCGACCTTGCGGCTGAAAGCCTGGCACGGGTGGAAACGGCCACATTCACAGTGCAGGTCGCGGGCGCCAAAACAGGCAGTAGGAACCCTGAATGGGTCAACCTACCATACACCCTAAATGTCAACGGCGCCGACGTTGAGACGTACATTATCCCGTGGAATGTCAGCACCTCTTGCGGCGTCAGAAGCGCTGTCAGCTGTCACAACTTTGCGCACAAATTTGTCTTTCCCACCAGCATACTTGTCCAAGGTGAAAACTTCTTTGTTTTGAGCCTTCCATTCAACGCTTCCAGTGTGGAGACGGCTATGCTACCATGGACCACGTATATTCAATACGATGCACTACGACTGGAGCTTGAGTGAGTCATCGACGTCGGATATTGCAGATTCCCTCGGCACATAGCCTATACAGCCTTTGGTGGTTGCAAGTAGCTTTAATATAATCACTGCATCATCTCCGTGCTTGGAGGATATGATATGAAATCAAGTTGATGTTCCCCACCCCTTTCTCTCAAGCGCAATCCAGTGCAGTGCGAAAACTTTACGAAGTTACATGGCCATGAGGGACACTTGGTTGAAGGCAACTAAATGTGTTACCGAGAATAACACAATTTATAAGTAAAAGGAGCTTTAGATAGTCCCTTAGAAACATTTTCGTATATAGAAACTCATACTAGCCCTTCTCAGTCGTCGTGAACAGTAGCGAGCTTAGCAATCCTAACCTGACGTTTTGGCTCAACCGTCATAAATGGGATTATTGCGGAAATGCTGCGGTTGTCACCAATAACTAATAAAACAACTCGACTGCATCAAAAATCTAGATTATAAAATAATAAGTGCTTGTTCAATCATGTGAGATCATTTGATTGTCATTATGATTATAGAAAGTGAAAGAGAGGGAGCAGAGGGCAGGATTTGAAAAGAGGGGTAAAGTGAAAAGTTGTCTTACAAAGTTTGGTGACAAGAAGCCGGTACCGGCATGGCCAGATGCAACGCTGATGTTGATGTAATTTACCCCTTTCACAAGTGTACCAGCTGGAATTTGGCAGGTATAGACTGTCATGTCGCCATAGCTTTTGCCCTGGAAATGATCGCGATTAATTCATGGTTTGGCAAAATTAAGTTGAAACCTTTTACCTTCGTAATACCTCGGGCATCCGTATCAACCGGGCCATTTGGGACTGGACAATTGTAAGAGTCGATATTCAGAGCTGGCCTACCACCAGCGTATGACATGGTAGTAGCCACTCTAATGGTTGTTTCCCAGCCAAGCGGAGCATCAAGGATAAGTTTAATCTCCTGATAAATATTGACGTCCTAGAAAAGAGCCATTGGGAATGTTTTGGAATTGTCGCCGACGGTGAACGGAACGCTTGTCCAATTCATTCGTTTATCAGAAGGGTGATGCTGGGGCTGGATATCCGCATTCACAAAGCTTGCCGGAGAGCCATCGTAATCACCTATTTGGAAAACCGTGGTACGTGACTGCGTTATGATAGGATTGCTGGCCGTAATCGAAGCGGTAGCGGTTGCGCCAGCTTTGACCTTGACCGTGGTAGTGGCGGCAAGGAGCTGCCCTTGATATAATCTTTGAGTTTGTGAGAAACTATGGCTTTAATCTTAGGTCCAAGTTGAGAGTTACTTACGCTTGAGTATATGTGTCCGCCGGTAAGGGGGGTGACTTGAATGAACCATCGCTTTGGGTTTCAGCCCATGATTGGTACTTGGAATTATACCAATGGACTACTCTTTGAAAATTTGCGGGAGTGCCGTATGCAGTGCCTGTGACTACTCCTCGTGCGCTGGACTTGACATAACCCTCGAGGCCCAAGTCATCCAAGAGGCTGATGTCAAAATCGGACGGGTACCGGACATCCGCGCCCGACATTGAGAAGATATACGGACCGTGGAATCCAACCCGGGGGACTTCGGTTGAGCCGTAGCCAAAATCGCCATGATTCATGTAGAAAGTGACTCCTTGGTAGTAGTCACTTCCAAGATTGAGTCAGATATCACGTGCAAAAGGTCCACCAGTTGACGCCTCGTAGGCTTGAATCGGCTTGACAATGCACGCGTGCATGTCAGAGCTGTATGCACAGTGAACGGGGTCGTCGATAAAGCGTTCGGCCGAGTAATGCTAATTTCAAGGTGTCCGAGGTAGTTTGTCGGTGTGAAGCGTTCCTTACTTTTGCTCGGGTATCATCCCCTACGCGGTATATATCGCTGCCTTCAATTACGGTACCGCCTCTGGTGTCTGATACCTTGCCTGATGGCCAGGCGCTCTGGAGATCCACGAGGTTAAAGAGAAAACGAAGTTCTCCTACACTTGGATTTGATTGTGTGTATGTCCCCAAGTATATTGCATCTTGGCCGTCAACGAACACGTAATATTGTGTGAGGTTAAAGTCTGCAGTTGCCGAAACGCACTGGACGATGACATATGACCCTGTGCTGTCAGCCAGGAGAGGTACGGTGTATGGTGAATAGACAATTTTACCATTGACTTTGTATGAAACCTGTACTGAACTTGGAAGACCAGAGGCTAAATGGCTGTAAGATCCGGAGTACTGATACTCATGAGTGCGGTAAAGAATAGAGGTTATATCACAAGCATTGGTGACTGTTACAGAGAACCCATAAGACGATTGGGTATTTATAGTGAATGAGCCACCGTCTCCATTTGTGACTTTGATTGCATCAATTCGAATCGCGAAAAGAAGAGAGGAAATGACGAATAAAGTTTGAAGGAAAAACATTTTCAGTTGCTGTTGAATTCAGTGATAACTCAAACCCTTTTGCCTTTTTCAAACGTTTTATTTGAATATTCATCGCAACTACCTTACATGGTACATCTCCATTTTTTTTTTCAGGCTGACGTATGACCATTTAATCCATTAGCATGTAAGTGAATATATTTTGAACCATTGAGTCGTGACTTCGCGATAATGATCAATAACGGAATGTGCAAATCGCCCCATTTAGCGTATTCCAATATTTTCGGCGCGGCTGCATAAATTCCACCAATAACACATATTAAAGCTGACTATAACCGGCACTTTTCCAAAAACAGGGGCGAAAAAAAAAA